GAGACAGAGTCTCGCTTCGTTGTCCAGGCTAGAGTGAGTGCCGTGGCGTCAGCCTAGCTCACAGCAACCTCAAACTCCTGGGCTCGAGTGATCCTTCTGCCTCAGCCTCCCGAGTAGCTGGGACTACAGGCATGCGCCACCATGCCCGGCTAATTTTTTATATATATATATTAGTTGGCCAATTAATTTCTTTCTATTTATAGTAGAGACGGGCTCTTGCTCAGGCTGGTTTTGAACTCCTGACCTTGAGCAATCCGCCCGCCTCGGCCTCCCAAGAGCTAGGATTACAGGCGTGAGCCACAGCGCCCGGCCAAGAACATACTTTTTTGTATGTCAGGCTTTTGAAATGTGAGTTATGACTTAGTAAATTGTTTAGCAAAATAACTCACATTTCAAAAGCCTGATATACTTTTTTGCATCAGTATTTACTAAAACTTTCTTTTACATTCTGATTGTCTCCATCTATTAATTGTGAAGAGTCCACAGACAAATACATACATATGTACATACAGGATTCTATATTTGGTTAAAGTACCCTGTTACCTGGTAAATAGGTAAAAACTATTTAGGACTATTTAAAGTGGACATAAAATAATATACATATGATTACCTCTGGCTTTAAGCCAATTAGCAGACATACAGAAACTACTTATTAGGAAAGCTTTACAATTTTTGATTTGATTACTAACGGGAGTTAAAGATTCCTCAAATTTGAGTAAGTTCTTAGATAAGGATGCCTGCCTACAAATGAGCTAGTTTTCTTTAAAAAGTGAATATTATGAGTACTATATGTGACTATTTTTTTTATGACACATCAAGTCATTATGATCTGGGAGTCCTTCTAATTATAATTTTTTAGTATTTGTTTTTTTATCTGAGCTATTTCATTTTACCATAAGAATATAGCTCACTAATTAGTTTCTGTATCACATCATGTACGCACATTGAAAAGAAAATAGGGGAAATATATCCTTGTCCCTCGTCTTCAGAGGGTCTGTGGCTCACCATGGATAATGTGTTTGAATAGCAGCCTCTTGAACAAGGATATCCCTCCCTCCTTTACCAAAAGCCAGAGTTGTCAGAGCATCTGAGAGCTCACAATTGAGAAAGGGGACTTGACTCCCTGCGTGGAATGCTCCATGATCTGGAGATGTCCCAGATCATGGGTATTTGAATCATGGAAAATGCACTTGAGGTGATTCTTCACTATAAAATGAGATTGTCCCAATTTTAATGGGAATGCTTCTTATTGTTTACTTTTTTTGTGGTTTATCTAGGGTCCCATTTCTGATTTAGACTATTTTGTACTTATAATAAAGAATTGGCAGTTACTTAAAGGTTTCTTTTGTTAGGCCGTACTCCAAACAGTGGGAAAAGATCTTTACTTCATGTCATCGGATGACACCACAATTCAAGGTAACTTGTGTTTTTAAAACAAAATACTTCTATCACCCAGAATTGGCAAGTCTTAAAGGTGCCATTATGCCAAATCCCTCAAACAAAAATGGTTAATTAATTTCCCTGGATGTTAGTAGTGGGGGGGGGGACCACTTTAGGTAAAAATGTTTAAATGTGCTTATGGGGATAAATAACCAAAAGGAGGATTTCTTGATATATCACAGGAAATTTGTTGATTGAATTAATCTTGAAAGTTAAATGATGAGTTTGATAAATTCATATTTTAAAGGATTTTCTTAGTGTTAACTGGGTTATATATTCAAATGATCTTTGTTAAATAATCTCTTAGGATTTCTGAATTTTTATCTACATAAGATTTAGCTTCTTGGATGTTCTTGGTTATTTTATATTGGTCATAATATAAATGTTGGTTCTTAGAATTGAGACACATTGAGGATAAAATTAGCTCCTGGTGACTTTAGTTTTATGTGAAAAACACACACTAATCAAAGAAAGCAAAGAACTAATTGATTATCAGACTTGTTAACATCATTCTAGCAAAATATAATATTCCAATTCCATATTCTTTTAGAGAGACTACTAAATGAAAAGAAGAAGAAAATCTGTTTCTGTAGGAATAATTCCCTGTAATAGTTAGAATACTGATCTGTCCCCCTTCCCTCCCTTTAGAGGACATTAAATTGTCATAGTAGCACCGATGTAAATCATTTTTTTTTGTTTTTATATTTCTTTCTCAGCTTGAGGTTTTTCTCTTCTCGTTTCAGATAAGGAGTCTGGAGGTGATGTAGATTTAACTGTGGATCCATAGATGTGGCCCGTCAGAAGCTGCTCTTAAACAAGTGGCATCTTATCCAGACCAAAAAAGTATTTGAGGACATTGAAAGCATGTAGCCTTAAGAAGCTGTCATTTTCAAAAACTTTGATATAAGCAGAAAGCGAAATAGGTCTCAGGTTGGCTGAGCAGTGTATCTATAGCGGTATTGCTGTCTATAAGGATCCAGGATCTTTCCTCTGCTTTGTATTGTTTCTAATCAGTCGAAAGGATTTATTTTGCTAAACAATTTACTAAGTCATAACTCACATTTCAAAAAAAACCTATTTTGATATCTTTTGAATATAGCATTTAAATTAAAATAGAAAAGTATAGGTTCATGACAAGTGCATGATATGAGGCTACTCAGGAGGAGGGTAGCTTTGTTAGCAGTAATGCCTTCAGAATTTTTGTTTTGACTTTGAAACTTTGGCTGCCTGTCTAATAAAACATCTGACTAACATTCTATTTGAATTTGGAAGTATTCTAATGTGATACGAGATCTGAATAAAGTTTATCCTTAATCGTGCGGTGGTCTCATTTTATTAAAAAGAAAATAGGATTCTTGAATATCTGTGGTTCCTCTCTTCTCTATAATTAGAGATTGGGAGAAGCATAGTAATAGTAAATGTTAGCTCTTATGCATTGATCACTCAGTTGCTCTTATGTAGTGGTGCTTTAAATACATTTTCTCATTTTAACCATCATCTTTGAGGTACATATTAATATTATCCATATTTTATTGGTGAGAAAACTGAAGCTTTTTAGAGAAGTTCAATAACTTGCCCAAGGTCAGATGTCTAGTGAGTCTCGGAGGCTTCAAACCCACACCTATCTAACTTCAAAGTCCATGATTTTAAACATGATTTTGCAGAATATAGATCTTAGCTACATGCTACTTAGCTATACATGACCCGGGCAGGTTATGTGGTATTTTTGAGCCTTCATCTTCCTCATTGGTAAAATGGTGATAATAAAACCTTTCTTACAGTGTTTTTAAGATTAGAAATAATTTATTTAAAGTACCTGAAAAGGAGTAGGCATTTGGTTAATGTTTCTTTCTTTTTCCTGACAAAAATTAAGTGTGCACTATGCTAGGTTTTTTTTTTTTTTTTAACCTTCACTTACTGGATATTTTCAGAACTTATTTTCTCCATTCAGCATCAGCACATACCACCAACAAAAGATTGTAAAAAAAAATTGCTCTTGCATGGAACATCCTTACAATCAGAATGTTTATCCATTTCTAAAATGAGTAAGGAGAAGCTTTGCCAATAAGACTGGGGGAAAGATGTTATGTGTATGAAATATTATCAGACCCTGAAGCCTAATAGAAGTAAACTGAGAACCTTAAATAATGAGTATAATTTCAGTAAGTAGAAAGGAAAGGGTTTTGCATTAAAAATAATTGAGGTTTTACTCACTCATATAGATAATATAATTGTGAATTACCAGGAGAGAAGATCAGAGAAGATGTATTAGGGTCAGATTATAGAAAACCTTCAGATTCAAGCTTAGTTTAACTCCATATTTTAAAAAATTTAATCTGAATGGCTATAGGAGAGAGAAGTCAAACTTCTCAGAATGAGTGATTCTGCACCTTAAACCACTCAGCTAGGCCTGAGGTACAAAATCAGGATATACAATAAACTTACTAACTGGGCAAAAGGGACAGAGATGAAAGAGTTAAGCAGATTTGCTTACTAAGTACTGACTATCCTTGTTCACAAAGGCTAAATTAATTATGGAGAATTCGTAGGAACAAGATCATACTTAGACTAAAGTATATACTTAACTAATGATTGGCATAAATTCTTATATCCCTCGGGGAAAAAAATCACATTCCATGATTCCCAGATGCGCAGGTGTACACATTTTTAAGTTGTCTTTTTACCTCCATTTAATTAAATGAAATAAAATAATAAAATGATACTAAATAATAAAAATACTTTCACCACTATATATAGAATTTAAAACATCTATTAAATAAAATTAATTGGAAAATGAAGAAGTTAAATGTAATTCTGTTTCCTTTGTTTTCCTTCACAGCCTTAGGGTGAATAACTAATGTGTTATAGCTGGAATCCCTGCTATATGCTATAATCCAGTGGCACCTTTCTTTAGTAAGTAGAATGCATCAGAGATAAAGCATTAAAGAAAATGTAGTTCAAGCCTCACTCATGATGTCTACTATATCCACTGTATCTACTACCTCTGCCTTGTCTCCAAAATTCTTAACCCTAGTCCCCTCCCCATTTAGTCATCATATCAAAATTGTATAGTATCAGCAATCCTATGCTCAAAACAATGGCTTTTTTAATATTAGCTTGATCTGATTTTTCTTAGCATGACCAAAAGTCAAAGAGAAATGCTGTCAAATTCTACCTAGAATATCATTTTGCTAAAATTAAATTATACATAATAGAGAATAAAAGGCAAGAAAATCTGTTTTTACTGTATATTTAAGGAGTATTGTCATTCCGACCAGTTTTCATTGGCATTTATGCCTCTTTTAATATACTTGTCCATTATTAAAGTAACATAAAAGCAGTTTTTAACTTTGACACTGAAAAAAGATATCTTAGTAAAATTAAATTTTAAGCTGGTATGATTTGTGTATTCTGCATTCCTTCTCTATATTTAAATGAAAAAAATCTTAGTTCAAGCCTCCATCACTATTATAGTATAGCCCACATTTTAAAATACAAGTTCTTTGGGAAACTACAATAAAATCTCTCTCTCACACACACACATGCACAATGTTAGACAGTTTTGAGCCAAGACTTTTTAAAAAGCTCTTTTAATCCTAATTCTGTTTCCATATTCCTGTAGCATTCTACAGAGTAGCATGTGGGTCGGTCGTGTTGATGTTGCTCCCTGGAATGAGATTCTTATCATCTCCTTCAACCAGATAGTCCCACTTATCAAAATCTTTATGAAGTCCTGAAAAACATAAATGTTGATAAACATGTTAAACTTCTGACAGCAGTAAACAGTTCAGTGCCTCTAGGTCAGCAGTCCCCAACCTTTTTAGCACCAGGGACCAGTTTCATGGAAGACAATTTTTCCATGGATGAGGGTAGCAGTAGGGGAGGCAGAGGTCAGATGGCGATGTGAGCAATGGGGAAGGGAGAGGGTGTAAATGCACACGAAGCTTCACTTGCTAGCCCACAGCTTGCCCACTTCCTGCTGTGTGCCCACCCACACCCTTCCCAAGTTTCATGGAAGACATTTTTCCATGGATGGGGGGGCGAGGAGTGGTGGAGCTCTTCTACCTGGTCCCTAACAGGCCATGGGCCAGCACTGCTCTGCCACCTAGGGGTTGGGGGACCGCAGCTCTAGGTGGCACAACAGAATACAAATTACATAATGATCATAGAGGCTAGGGGGGGTTCTGTCAGCTGCCTGCAAATGTGAGAATGGAGAGAATGCCAGAATCTTCCAAGTGGAGGTCCACCGCAGGCTTCATAGAAAGACTATAAGCTTTAACAGACTTGCTTTGTACCATACATAGTCCGTAAAGCAGCACAATTAACTTTCTCAAATTTTGCTTTCAAATTGATTTACTGCTTTATACAACCAGAAACCAACTAGAAACAATTAAAATGGGACTGAAGTTGTGTTAAGCTAGAAAGTTTTGTCCTGAGATTCATCCGGTTTATCAGGAAAGAACATTAGTTTCTTACCTAAATGCTTTTGTAAGAATGCTAATGAAGCTTTGTTGCTAAGATCAATAGCTACATTTGAATCTATATCTCCTTTTAATCCGAATACGTATCCAACTATTTTGCCAGTTGCAAAAGTGAAGTCAGCAAAATTCTGATGCACTGAACCCCTATAAGAGAAATGAGGCATTTAAAAAATCGCATTGTTTGATAAAATTATCTTTGTAGTTAGGGTACAGGAAAGAGATGTGCCTGGTTAGCCTATTTATTCAAAAGCATGGAAATAAAACTTGTAATCTGATTGCCTTAGAGCTATTTGTCCAATTTCAAGTCACGAGTTTAATTTATTATATCTCAAACAGTACAATTAATCAAAGTATGCACCTAAACTATCGACACGGTTTTGCCATCTTAATGACAGCTTGTTTATGCCAACAGCAAAGAAGCCTGGAGAACAAGTGGCAATGAAATCGCAAAAGATGTTTTCCACAGCTTGTTGAGAACTGAATATTTTGCCTTGCAAGACATGGTCCAAAGCCTGGAAGAAGTGGTAGTCAGTTGATGCAAGGTCTGATAAATATGGTAGATGATAGAGAGTTTCCAAGTCCAGCCTCTGTAGTTTGAGCAGCATGGTTTGTGCGACATGTGGTGGAGCATTGTCATGCAAGAGGATTGGCCTGTCTCTATTGACCAATCTCACCTTGTTAACCACAAACATACTCATCATTTTGTCCAGTTGGTTGCAGTAGACATCTGCTGCAATCACTTGACCAGGTGTCATGAAGCTGTAGTGGATAATACCAGTGCTGGACCACCAGACACCATTAGCTTTTTTTGATGATATATTCTGTTTTGGACTGTGTTTCAGCACTTCATCTTTATACGACCACTTGTGCCAAATGCTGGAAATTGTCAAAAAGAATCCATTTTTCATCACATGTAACAATAATGGTGTAGAAATGGTTCGTCTTTATGTCTTAACAGCAAAGAAAGGCAAGCTTCAAGACGATTTCTCCTCTGACACTTGTTTGATTCATGCGGAACCCATCTGTCCAGCTTCTTTACCTTGCCAATTTGTTTCAAATGGTCCAATATTATTGGAATAGTAATGTCAAATCTTGCTGCTAATTCACACGTAGGTTGAGATCGATTCACTTCCACTACAGCTTTCAGCTCATTATTATCCACCTTGGTCCCAGGTCACCCACATGGCTTGCTTTCAAGATTAAAATCACCAGAAAGAAACTTCTCAAACCATTGACATACAGTGTGTTCATTAGCCACATCCTTCCCAAACACTATACAGATATAACTCCTCTAATTCTAAATTCATCCATAGCCTAACATCAAACGGAATGGCCTTTTGTTAATGTTCATTTTCTACCACCTCTGGGACATTTAACATTTGATGTCTTTCTTGCACTTTTTTTTTTCCTCTTCATTGCCTTGACATTGCATCTTCCCTTCTGGCCCTAACCACTTTGTGCTCTTCATGGGCCTTCACCCTTCTCTCATTGGTGAAATGTAGGCATTCCTCAAGATTCTGTTCCCAGAACAATTCTTTCCTCATTTTTGCAGTCTCGTCTAGTCCAGGGTTTCATCTATAGTATCATGCAAATTCTGTACTCTGGTCAATTTGTGGCTGGACATCTCTACCCAGATTTCCCAGTTCTCAAGCTTCTAAATTCCAAGGTTCAAACACAACATCTTCCCAGTCCCACCCAGAGCAACTCTTCCTCTTCACTTTGCTGATTCTTATAAGCAAACCATCATTCTTTTAGCCACCTAAGCTCAAAACAGGGCCACCCTGACTCCCTCTCACTCTTCCCCACATTCTGGTCGAAACTTGAGTGTCAGAAACATAAAAAGGGGGAAACAGAGTCAGGGTCATGAGAGAGCTGAGAGCAGAAGCCTGGTTGCTGCCAACAGTAAAGGACTGGCCTGAGCAACGAAAAGGAAAGAGCACATAACTGATAGGAGAAGCCACACAGAGGAGGGTCGTGGTGGTCAAGAGAGCAGAAATAGAGCTGGTCACGTGTCCAACGGATGTGCAGAGGGAGGGTGAGGCTGCAAAGAGGCTGCAGGTGGGATGTGCAGCAGGCCTTTCGTGTGCCTAGCAGGCCTGTTTCAGTGCACACTGGTGGGGCCTCAGGAAGCTAGACCACAAGAGTCAAAGAGCAAATAGAAGCAAGCACACGAAATACTAAATATGTGCTATTCTTTCAAGATTTCTGGCAGGGAAGGGAAGAAAAAAGATAAGGTGGGAGCCTAGCAAAGATGTAGGATCAAGGGAAGGTTAGGTGTCCTCTATGATTTCTTTTTTAGAATTAGAGAGACTTGCACATACAAATAAGCTAACCTGATGTCCTTACCTGAAATACCAGGACACTTCCTTGCCATCTATCCAAACTCCCTTGATCCTACAATGTCCAACCCTAGTCCCATCTCTTCTAAGAATACTTTTCAGTTGGAAAAGATCCCTCCATTCTCTGACCCCATAATGGTTATTGCCTATATTCTTTCTATGTGTTTCCTTCCTGCCTCTTTTTTTCTCCTCAATAGACTAGGTTTCAGATAGGAGAGGGGTGAGTTCTATCTTTGCTTTGGAATTGTCATGAAAGTTCAAAACCCTGTCAGGAGTTCTTTTTTCATGTCCAGGATATAAACATAGTGCTCCATGGTATCCCAGCATAGTTTTGGAGAATTTATAAACTTACATTCTTTCCCAACAAGTAAATACATTGTAGGTCTCAACAGATGATATGACTTTTTCTTTAAAGAGTTCCTAGCTAGCCTAATGATGAAATATGTCCTCCCTACTCCACCCCCATAAATACGTAGGCATGTTCTGGTGTTTAGATAAAAGTAGCACATAGTATAATGCTAATATCAATTACTAGTATATGCACTACATACATTAACACTACTAAAGCATTTCCATTTTAGAAAGACTAAGTCTAAATGTACTCAGAAACTGAGATTATCTAATAAGAATTATCTAATGTTCTGCTCACTGGAAGTCTAAACAACCAACTCAGCAATTCAGTAATGGCTACCAAACGGGACCTATTGATGTTCATCCAAGTTTCAAGTTTCTGTTTCAGATGATGAAGTAAGTCTCTCATGCTTACCTGATTGTAACCATTTTTCTTTCTTTACCTGGTAGGTAGCATTGTTCCATTTTTTTGATATTATCTAAATATTGGAAGTGTTCAGAGTTGATAAAAAAGAGAGGCTGAGGAATTTTGGGATACACCTCATCACCCACTGGAAACATCCATGCGTCCAGGGCAATGCCGCACCTGCATTTGTTGGCAAGGAGGAAAGAAGGCTGGTTACACGCTAGCCACCATATAGGACTTTCTAATAATGCTTGGATTAACAGACATACACCACACCAGTTTGTTACGGGTTATCTTCCTGGGGGCAAGAGATATTATACTTCAATGTAGAAAGGGGATATGATTAGCTTTATAAGGTAGCAGCCCTGCAATTATACAACCATTTTCTTTAAAAGGCCTCTAGGAATTGCAACCTTTAGGAATATATATCCTTAACATTTTTTAATTTTATTTTTTAGTTATATTTAAAATAAATTTTAAAATAAGTAATACTGTCTTGAAAACCATGGGGTATCTGAAAAAGTACAATAAATGCACCATTTTCCCTGTGTTTCCAGAGCGTTGTGCATTCTGTAGTGTATAGATTATGCCTTTTTTCAAAGTCACGGTAGATCCATTACTTTACAAATATAGGTGCTTCACCTGGGAAACTAAGTGTCGAAGAAAAATAACACGAAGCACATCACTTGAAAATATAACTTTCTTTTTAAGTTTATCCTGTGTTTCTCGATCTTTTGCTAAATGGATAAAAGAAGAGAATTCCCTTACCATTGAAAAAGATATTAAGAAATTCAGGGTGAAATGTCACAAACTGATCCTGCCCACTTTCTATATAGTCAGTTCTACACGATCTCATCAGTCTGCAATGAAATACTTCACAAAAGCAAATGTTTCTACAAGTTAGAAAACTGGGGTTTGGTCCTCACTCCTACACAAATAACTGTCATTTTAGATTCAGCTCCACCGTAAAAATGGAAGGGAAAAAAAAAACTAATTAAAAAAATGTCCTGCCTATTTTGGAAGCCTGGCAATACTATGAGATGGCAATGATACTATTATTATCATTAGGTCACATGAAAAACATATATAGGGATTATTTCTAAGTGGAAAATGTTAAGCCCTGAGCAAAAAAGTAAGAATAATGAGGGAAAATATATAAGGGCAGGGAGACTTTTTAATAGCAGGAATAGTAGGTGGTTTCTGCCTAAGAAAATTTATGTAGAGCACTTGATGGAAGCAAAGGAATAGACTTGTAAGCTCCGAAGGCTCCTTTCTTCACTAAGAATCTGATAAAAAATGATATCTCATATGTGTTATCACTGCCCCTCCCCCAATAATTTACTGCCCTCTTGCTTTATCTGTCTTGTTGTCTTACCTGAATCTCTGGTCTTCACTAAGAGTTTGAATAACTGTTGCTCCACCAAAAGAATGTCCCATTATTGCTACTTTTTTCCTATCAATAGAGTCCTATGTGAAAAAGCATGATATAAATTCATAACTATCTCACATGGTGTTAGAAGAATAGACTAAATCATTTTGTCAATCCTACAATTATTGTTCATTTAGTGGACATGGTTAAGGACCTTGATTTCTTAAAAAATAGAACATACATGTACACATATATATCTATTATACACCATATATACATATATATATAAAACATTTTTATATCTATATATAACACACATGTAAAAGTTCAGAAGTAAACTTGTCTTCTGAGTCACCTACACTTGAAACTTTGACATTAATTCTGAGTTCTGCCTCTCCCCACCCCACGTTTATTAGTTCATTCCATGAGCATTGATGGAGCACCTGCTCTGTGCAGGCCCCGCAGTCTCACTCTCAGTGAGCTCATGGTCTATCTGGGAAGACAGTGCTGCAGAGACACGCTGCGATACAACACAGGTATGCCAGGAAGTGCATACAACAGCTAGCGAACCTGGCCGAGGGGTGGGCACTGAGATCCAGGGAAGCTTCCTGGAGGAGGTGATGTCTAACTGGAGTCTTGAAGAGTAGGTGGGAGCTAGTCAAGGGGAAGAGTGTCAGGCTAAGGGGACATGTACCAAGGCATGGATACAGGACAGAGTAGCCAGGTGACGGCTGTATCTGGAGAACAGACCATCATCTTCTCTCTGCGTTCCACATGCATTTTTTGAGTCTCTGCTCATGCTGTCTGTCCACTGTGTCTGATATTCTTCCACCCTCTCCCAAATGTTTGTACAAAACTTTTGACCAACTTTTCAAGATCAAGCTCAAAAACACACAGGAGCCAGCCAAGAAATCATAACACTTCCACTGGAGGTATAAAGTTAAACCATACAACATTGCCATTTTTGTAGATCCAAACTGACTGATGGCAATTTCACGTACAGTTCAACCTAATACATTCTCCATTGGTGTAATACATTTTGTTTTTGCAGCCCTTCATCATGTTGTACCTTGTAATATAGCAGATAATCAGACAACAAAGAACAATAAAGAACTACAGGACAAGGGCAAAAAAATAGCTTTTTTTTTTTTTATAAGCTTACCTTCAGTTGTCCCACATCAAACTCTAAATCTAATACATTCTTCAGTGGCTTTCCATGATCAATGTCAAGAATCAAATCAAGAGCTTGGGAACATTCCTTTGCTCTGTGATGTACCTAATACGATTATTAGAAGAAGGAAACAACAAAGTAAAAAGCTATAACAATTATTTTAAAGTTTGTGCAGAAGTTGCATGTGGGAAAAATAGTTGATTGATTGATGATCGATGGATTATAAACTGGAAATGTCTAAGTGGTTCGTGATTAGAATACATGCTAGCATAATGACATAGGCATCAGCTTTGCTCATAGGTATAGCTTGGTCCAAATCTTGGCTCTGTTGCTTATCTACTGCGTGACTTCAGATGATTTACTTAACCTTTCTGAATTTCCATTTATCGTATAATAATGCCTACTCCAGTGAAACGTCGGAAGGCTTAAATGCCATAACATAAAAAGCACCCCTATAACGAAGCAGCCAGTGTGCTTTATTCCATTTAATCATCCCAATAGCCTTGTACGATAGATACCATCATTAGTCATTATTTAGTGACAGATAAAACATGGAAGTGCAAAGATTAACTTGTCCAAGATCACCCCACTGCAAAGCGATGAAGCCAGGATTCAAACATAGAAATTTGGACCCCAAGCCTGTACCCTTAATGCTATTGTATTCCACCTCTCTGAAAAGTAGGATTTTTTTTTTTATATTGCCTCTGAGAGGGAATCTATTAGTTTATTTTGTAGCACTTCTGAGATTCTAAAATTAGAGGTTTTAATGCAAGAAAATTCTGAATATTCACTGTTATCACCCAGGATTTGTGTGTTTACCTTTGTTTTGACTACGAACCAGATATTTCATTAAGGGAATTTCATTACTTAGGGAATCTACCAACAGATCCTTTGGGAACGGGAGATATGAGAGGTAGCAAACCATGCCATACGTAAAATTAAATTAGCAAATGTCATCATTTTGTACATGCTTTCAACTTGTGAAGCCACTTCTCTCACAGCAATATACCTGTTTATTTCGTTCAGATTTCACATCGTCACCTGATTTTAGGGTTCTAAAGTAGAGCCAAGACTTGTTTCCTATTTCTGCAGCAGACTGGTCCTTGAAATAGTAAGTTGCAGATGCAGATCCATTTCTATAATACAAGCAAAATTCGTTACCTATACACGCTCCCTCCCTTCCTCATCTGGCCCATGCTCCTCAATCCTATCCTTTACTCAACTTCTCTCTGATCTTTTGACTTCTCTTTCTTCTTCCACTCTACTTTTTTTTTTAATTAAAGAGTACCAAAAGGAAGTTCTAGAAAAAAGACCTCATTGTCCATTGTCGGAGAGTTATGGGTAAACTCAGCCCGCTCTATCTGCACGGTTCTGGGAGGCAATGTTAGCCACGATGGAAACTCACCTTTGGGAACCAAATACCAGTGCTGCCACTTACTAGCAGTGTGACTTGGGGCAAATTACCCTTTCTTACTTTCATGTTCCTCTTCCTTAGAATAATAATGATAGTAACCATCTCCTAGGATTGTTATGAGACTAAATGAGATGGTGCATGGAAAATACTTAGCATGTAGTACATGGCATGCATTAAACAGTCTAGAAATGTAAGCTGTTCTTTAAGTCTTAACAATCTAACACGATTTCCTTTTTTAAATGTCATCATAATGTGAAAATTCCATCACCATTTTTTATAAACGTTTATGTAAGGTAGAGGCATGGTTCTAGGCATTCGCATTCCCTGCATTTGGATAAAGAGCCCAGTTATTATATATCAGGTAACATACCTGTGTTCCACAGCAGCAACTATAAACCCATGAGATGCCAGGTCAATGCCAATAGCAGAATAAATTGTCCTTCAAAACAAAGAGAGGGAAGCATTACAACTACCCGTCATGATTACAAGGCTGGGTCCGCTAGTAAAAGTGGGGGCACAGAGGCCATTACATCCCTGTAGTAGTGCCCTGCAGTAGAGTGGAGAACTGTGGTTCTTCAGGGGGAGGGGGGGTATTTTAGTCCCATAGGGGATATGTGACAGTGTCTGGCAATATTTTTATTATCATGAATGGGGGGAATGGTGCTACTGGCATCTAGTGGGTAGAAGAATGCCATTAAACGTCTTATAATGCATAGGACAATCCTCCACAACAAGAAATTATCTGGTCCAAAATGTCAACAGTACTGAGGTTGAGAAACATTGGTGCAGTGATGACAAATACTACCTTTGAGATTCGGGGGCGTTTAATCTTAGCTCTGCCACTTGCCAGCTATATGATTTCAGGTAATTACTGAATTTTTGTCCTCATCTGTGAAATGGGGCTAATAATAAAGCCTTTACTTTAGGATAGTTGTAAAGTTTTGATAAGATACAATGATATAGGCAGGAAAGCAATGCAGCATGGTAGTTAAGAGAATGGAACCTGCATTCTGACCACAGAGTTTGAATCCTGGTTCCACCACTTATTAGCTGCATACCTTGGGTAAGTCCTTATCTTTTCTCTGCCCTGGTTCCTTATCTGTATAAAGGTGATGCTATAACAGTATGGTACCTCATAGATAAGGATCAAGTAAGTTAATACACCTTCAGTGCTTATAGCTATATCTGAAGCAGGGTAAATATTTAACACGTTAGCTGTTATTTAAATGACTGGACTGGGTGAAATGGTGAAAAAATCATGTGCTAAGCAACTGCATTTATACCCTCTTCTATGTCTTCATTCTACACAATCTTTTTCTCATATCATGGAAATACCCTTAGAGAATAAAAAGGCAGGGGCTAGGAAACATGTCTTCTGCTGAAGGTACAGGATATCTTCAGAAGAGGGGAAATGGTCTAGTATGGGGATCAGCAAACTTTCTCTGTTAAAGACTAGATAGCAAATATTTCCAGCTGTGTGGGCCACACGGTCTTTGTCACAACTACTCAACTCTGCTGTTGTAGCACAAAAGTAGCCGTAGACAATGTAAAAAAAATGAATGAGTATGGCTGTGTTCTAGTAAAACTTTATTTACAGAAATAGGCAGAGGGCTGGATTTGGCCCTTGAAGTCTAATTTGCCAATCACTAGTGTAGCAGAAATCAAATAGGTAGCTGGACCACAATTAACCTACTGGAGATAATTCTTTATTGCAGGTGCCACCCAACTTCTTCCCAGCTAAAAGCCACCTTTTGTTTTCTGAAAGTTTTATAATTTCCTCAGGTAGAAGCAGGGGAGACAGTTAGAAGATGGTACAAATGGAGAGGCCGTGTTTGTCATGGAAATGGCGACTCAGTTGTGCTACAGAGAGCACAGCTTCCTAAATGCCCCATCCGTCCCTGCCCCTCTGGATCCATCACCATGTTCAAGCGGAAGCCAAGCTTCCTGTGAACTGCTCCCAGTGACCTGGCACAGCCTGGGTCCTAACGTAGGACCGTTCCTGTGAGGGGCAGGACGCTTGACAAGCAACTTGTGGTCCAGCATTCCCTCCACTGGCCCCCCGATCTGAGAACTGTGCTGCAATCTGACTCATCTTCTCCGGCCCTTCTCTCTTCCCCATCTCCTTTGCAGGCATCCAACCTGCATCATCATCTGAGAGCTCTCCCCATCCTTTCCTGCTCCTTCTCCTCTATCCATGCCGAGGTATTTCTCTCCATAGATGTCTTTCACAGATAGTCCATTTCCTGGACAACCTGAACTGCACAGAGGATGGTTTGGAGGGCATAAATATTATAATCTAGAAGGACAACAAGCAAAACTGCATCACTCTCTCTTCCCTGCAGTGAGGCTAATCCCCATGAGCTGGTAGGGGGTAAAAAAACTACTTAACAAGACAGGGCTAAGGTCGATCAATAGACCACAGTGAAATATTGAGGAATCCCAACTCCTCCAGGACAAGGGCCGGTATGACATTCCCAAATCTGTAATTCCTTTTATGAAAACAAAAAAATTGGCATTGATCCTTAAGAGGCTAAAATTGTTCAACCTCTCAAACATTACCTGAATGCTCCAAGACCATGAGAAAAAACAATTAGTGGATATTTTTCACCAGTCCTCAGAGGGGAATTCCAGCTTGCAGGGGTTGTCACTGAACCTAGACAACAGTGGGTGGTTACAGTTAGTGTTTTCGCTGGCTTGAATGTTGCTAATTTAACTTACATCTCCATAGCATAAAGTCCTGACCCATGAATTTATATCCATGTTTTATGGATTCATAGTAAATTCACTAAAAAGTCTGCCACTAGATACCTACCAACCATGCGTTCTTTCCTCACACTGGAAGATCATTAATTATCAGTTTCTCAGACTGTAGGATTGTTATCAGTTCCCACTGCCAGCTCTGCACTTAAGGTGAGAGATTTTTCTACTCACCGGTGTATCCACAAAGGCTACTGCTTATTACCATTCCCAGGTTTTGGGAAAACTTTAGAGGGAGTATTCGGAAACCAAACTACTCAGTAAACCTCAGGAATGTTACACCGAGAGCCAGGATCTGGGAATTGGAGGTTCCTCTCATTATGACTTGGTCGTGATCCGGTGGAAGGTGGAGAAACCACTGACTTCATACTAAGGTGTGGCCTTTGGATGCCACTCAGCCACTTTCTAGCTCCTGACCTTGGCCAAGTGACTCACACCCTCTGAGCTCCAGAATCCTCTTCTGCAAAACTGAGGAAATGGTATCCATTTCATAGGGTTTTTGTGGGAGTTTTATTTAATTGGGCGCTGTATGTAAAGCTCCTATCTAGTCACATTGTAAGAGGCTCAAAAACGGGAAGATATAGTCTTCCCTTCCTTCACTTCTTCCCAATCATTGTCATCATTATTATTAGCAGCTACTTGTGTTTCATTTTCCCATCTAGGAAACAGAGATGTGGTCATGAAGACAGAATGCAACAATTGCTATGGAAGTGGTTTATAAGTTGTTCAGCACCCTAATGATGTGTAGTTATGGTATTTTCATCATTTCTATTATAAAGTGTTTTTCAAGAAAACTCTAAGGAGATGTTTATGGTGAATCTCAGAAGTTATAGGCAGTTTTGAAGGAGAAATTTGAAGACACAGTTAACATCAGCCCAACATTAGTGTCTGGCCCAACAGATAAGGAAGGAAAGTCTATATCAGCGTATAAGTAGGTGATGAAGGCACATCAAACTGTCTTAGTGAAAGAGGCTGGTCCCTCGGGGTAGGTGATGGGAAGGAGAGGAGAGGCCCTCCGTCTGTGACAAGTAAGAAATTAGCTTTGTCTCCTTTGTTTCGGATCTGGAGAGTTATGGTGGCTTCTCTTTCCTTTCTCTTTGTGTCTGACTTTAGCACGCAGCATGCAGGGTAGTGGCCACCCCAGAGAACCTCACACATTCCCACTCCCCCCACGGGATGCCAGAAAGAAAACCAAAGAGCAGCCAGAGGAAGATGCTAGAGCCTGTCTGATGTTCTTAGCCACCCCCATCACATTCAGAATGGATAAAATGAGAGTTGTTGATTCTGTCATAGTTGCTTGGGCTTGCAAGAAATACTTTCCTTGCCATTGTAGGAGAAGTTTAGACCGCAGAAAATCTACTTTGGTCTTAATTGCCTGAAATGTTTATTGTTTTCAAGGTTTTCTTATATACTAGAGCCTACAAAGTAGGATCAACAGAAAGAAATCTTACCAAATAAAAAGCTCAAAATTTTGCCCATAAGCCAATGTGTTCCAAGAAATTTACTGAGACCAAAAAAATATTCTGTGTTTGGGATCCACAGAGTGTTAAGGCGATCATCTTGAGATGGATAATATAAGCGCAGGAAGGTGCCCTGTCGAGGAAAGAAATGAATGCACTTTCAGTAAAGTTTCTTCTCAAACAGATTCCAGCAACTATTTTGCACATGTCATTAATGGAGACCCAAATACCGCTGTTGTTCACAAAGAGGTCTAGAAACTTTATAAGCTGCTGTGCTGATTAAGTGCAGTCATGAAAGAAGAGAGAAATAAAATATGCTTTCTCAGTGAAAAGAAAATGCAAGCAGCCTGGCTTTGGCCACTAAGGAAGGGGGAGATAAATATAGTTGGTAGATGAATGAATCAGACAACAGCAAAGAACTGGGGAATGGCTTTATAATAACCAAGCAAATGGTAAACGGAGTCATTCTCAGGTGGGGGCAAGGTCGGGTTTCAACACCTTCTAGTGGGCCATAGCGACAGTCCATACTGAACTATAAGGGTAAGTTGTATTAACCAAAACATTACCTCTTTAGTGTGATTGAACATCAAGTCTGTACAACCAACAGAATAAGGTCCATTACCTCTGGGGATTTTAGTTTGGCCACAGGTTGCCGCAGCCATCAGAGCTTGTATTTTATTGATCCATGCTGAAAAAAATAGGCAAATGTTATCTTATTTGTCACCTGTTACACCCCAGATTTTAACATGCAAAGGAATTCCAAGGGAATCAAGTTACTGCCCATAGTTCCTGGCCGCCTTCATTTCTTAATCTAACTGGTAAAATACACAAATAATTTCTGACGGCCTGCTGGGTGCAAAGCACTGTGTAGGGGTTTGGGAAGTAAAAAAGCTAGAGGTAGACTTAGCCCTTCTCCCAAGAGGCCTAGGAGTATTACCTCCTAATGCTTACAGCTTGCCCTCAACTTCTACTTCTATCTAGAGAATTAAAGATGACTTCCCAAATCTGTTGTTTTCCAAACACGAACTTTATCTCACATTTCAGATTAGTGTTAACAACTTTTTACTGGGTATGTCCACCTGATGCCCCTCCCATAGAAACATCAAAGCCAAAGGTCCAAAAGGAAGCTAAAAGACCACTTCCCAACTCCTCCTCCTCACCCTCCAGCCACGCAGCCTGCAACTCAAGGGTCCCCCATCTCCTGCGTCCCACGCCAGAAGGCTGGGAATCATCTTACCTTTCTCAGCAACCCCTACATTCAACCAAGCCTCCATTTCTAACGTTTCTCTTTGGCTTAGAATTATCTCCCCAATTTATCTCTGACCCTATAGCACAAACATCTCATTTTCACCCTCACTGTCTCTTGCCCAGGCAGTTGCCATCTCTCCTGACTGTCCTATCCACCTTGGCTCTTGGCCCCTTCAAACACATCCTTTAAAAGCACAAATCTCACCAGGCAATTATTAATAAAATCCTTCAATGGCTTCCTATCAGCAGGTGGTTTTTCTCGGAGGGGGAATATATTGGAATCTTTTTGGAGGACAGTTTGTAGGAGGTATCTAAGTCTACACGTGCCTCCCTAAGCAAATACTCTGCTCCTTGAGGCACAAACGTCACCTATCCCTCCAGTGGGGGTGGAAACATGTTGAGGCTCACAGGTGCACAGGTTAAATCCCAAGCACCTGGGCACTGTAGGAAAGGCCCTCTGTGATGTCGACGCCCATTGTCTCAGACTCTTCTTCTGGCTCTTCCCCCTAAGAGATCCCCCTTCCTGTGCTACAGCACTCCCGAGCTACACATCGGGCTGTTCGATGCCTCTGCACCTTTTGTAAATGCTACTGCCCGTGCTTTAAAATCCCCTGGGCCAACTCCTATTCAACCTGCAACACCTTGATCGAATGTTCTGTCTTCTCTGAAGCCTTCCCCAATTCCCCAGATAAATATAATCATTTCATCCTCAGTAGCACACAGATTCCCTGTATACATGTTTGTTTGTTTTTTATCATTCTTCTTATCACATTATATTAAAATTATGTGTCTCCATGCTGCCTCCTACACTATCCTTGTCTTTGTAGCCTCTGATTTTAACAGAGTATTTGGCACCTGGTCAGTGCTCAATAAATATTTGTGAAAATGAGCTGAACTAAACTGAACTTCCCACTGGTCTCTCCTGTTCTTTCAAACCTTTTGTCATAGGCAGTCTTTTACTCACCCACACCTGAAACTCCTTTTCTCTTTCTGGTACCAATACCCTTCCCCACACCTGCAGTTTATCTGCTCTCTTCCTTTCTAAACCCCAATCGACTCCATATTTAACTTCAAGAGGTCGAGCCCAAATATCAGTGTATCTAGACTCTCATTTTTCTTGATACGTTCAGCTTGCCCATCCCTTCCCTCTATTGGAATGTGGGAGTTTATTACTCTGCTGGACAGACTCTTGTGTTTTCCATCACACTCTGCCTCTGCCAGTCAGACTCCAGGAGCTATGTTAGGTATGACACCTGAATCAATATTGTGGGCATTGCCCAGAGAGGTTCTGAGTCACGGGAAGAAACCTATTTACATCCTCCACATTGGTGACTCATGTGTGAAGCACCTGCCCGTGACGAAACCTGTCAATGCATAAGGCCTCGCTACTCAGCTGGTCCACAGGGAGCTTGGAAATGCAGGCTCTCAGATTTCAACCCAATTCCACGGAGTCAGAAAAGGTGCACCACTAAAGTTTAAAAAGCACTGGGCTGAAGTACAAAACCACCTGGCCTGACAGACAGGTCAGTAATCCATGGTAGGATGTAGTTCCAAGGAAGACAGTTGATATTGGATCCAGGTGAGTCTATTTCAAGTGTTGGCTACTGGGTATTGGATTCAGGTGAGCCTATTTCAGGTGTATTAGAGCCAAGTGAGTTTATTTGAGGTGTGCTTCTTAGAAGCTATAATACTCTGGCCTAGGCAATTTACTTCCTAGTAAATTTCTCATTTATAAAATGGAACAGTTGTAAGGGTGAAGTGTTAATGAAGATCAAGTACCTGGCACAGACTATAACACATAAAAGGCAGATAACTGATATTATTTATCCCTTCCCCAGAGTTAGTTAACTCTGGCTAGCTAAATTCATAATGAATTTCTTAGAGGAGTTTTAGCAGATCTAATCTGCAACATACCACTTTCCCTTACAGAAAATTCAAACTTTAAGGTACTTCCCCAGAGACCTTTTTTTTAAAGCTTTACCTGTAAGGGGAACATTTCAGGGTCCCCACTTTTCCTCATTATTAGGTAGAAGAAACTGTTTCCCCTTTGGATCCCAATATCCTAAATTGTAACCTTCTCATACCACCCTCCACGACTAACCAGGACTATGCCTTCTGATCCAGACACCTGCCTCTTCTCCCTTTGAGGCAGCCTTGGTGTGAATTCCAGGGCAGCTGTGCTAGGGTGGGAGGGGTTGGGAAAGTGAGGGACAGTGTTGGGAAAATATGATTGAGGAATTAATGAGATGTGGCTCATAAGACCATTTTTTTTATTGCATAACCCTATATTACTATATTAAAGACAGAAGCAGGAGTTTGCAGGGTTTTGCCCTGAAGGAATGTGTGGACTCAATGGTTCACTTATTAGAGGCTGCTATCATGGGAGACCTCTCAAATCTCCAATAGGGACGTTTTCTAGGAAGGCTTCCCGGTATCTCAAAATCTGTGAGCTTCTCTGTGTCTTGAAAGACAAGCCAAGGCAAATATGGCCCACGGGATGGGAGCCAGAGACAATGAGTGCACTTTGCCCAGAGATGCGCCCTGGTGGTTATAAACAACCCATTTTATAGAGATGGGCTCCCTGCTCTCTCCTGTCTGTCTACCTTTAAGTCCACCATAACTAATCAAAGAAATATAGAGTCACTATACCTCTTTTATTATACCTTTGTTAATTGACAACTACTTCTTAGAATTTAGAAGTTAGCCCCTGAAAGACTTTGTACCTGTTTGTTCACCTAGATAGATTAGAAGACCCTTGAGAGGACTTTTGACCCTAACTCACTACCTGTATCCCCTAGCAACTGCATTCTCTGGTATGCAAATACGTTACTCTGACAACTGGTAATTGATGTCTGTGATTATAAAAACCTGTATGAATCTAACCATTTTTGCTGGCGTTTATGGGGATAGGCCAGTCCCCTAAGTACTCCCCGCTGTGTTATATCTGATCTTTTTTTATATATAAACCTATAAACTATACCTTAGTCTCTGTGTATTCTTTTATTTCTCTTGGTTTCCTATCAATTTCCTTATCCTCTGTGGTGACCCCTATCTTAGAAATGAGATGCGGCTCCCCACGGACTTGGCTCCCTGGGGAAAAATAGCTAATCTCCTCGTGGGCCTGCCTCAAATACTCTCCCTCCCTCCCCCGCAGGACAGCAGGGTGGCACTGAGGAAGTTCTCTACGGTGATTACAAGCTGAGCTTGTGTCTCAAAACATCGCATCTCGGTCTGTCCTGCAGTCATGATATTGAAGAATACAAGGTGCTTCTTCTGTTTCATTTAAAATGAGGAAAAAGTGAGGCCCTCTTCTCTACCCCAGGGGAACACAGGGTTTCCATGAGCATTTCTTAAGAGGACTTGTTTAAAGACGTACAGACATGCAGCTTCTCGGGGGCTACTTGGAGTCTTGCAGCTAAGCAGCTGCTCAAGTCCTGAACAAATAAATATACCTCTTACCTGATGACTTAACATGGGCAACAGGATTTAGGTCTTGCCAGTCAAAAGGACGAACCAGTGCAAGGCAGCTGCAGAGGCAGAAAAGCGCATGCAATTTGAGCGCCACCATCTTGGGAGCTGAGCGGTGGTTTCAGCTTAATCTCCTTCGCAGCAGATGGTTAAAAGAAAAAAACATGCAATGAAGAGGACTTAAACAGTCTGATAAATCAGAGAAGCAGAGGTACTAGTAACATTTGGAAAACAATGAAACATGCATTTTCTGGGCTGGGTTTTAGATTAGCACCAGGGAGTCAAAACCCTTGGTGATGCTGGATTATAGAGCACAGATATAGTTATAATAGGTTTCTGGTCACTAGTTTTTTAACTTTATAACAGTCTAGTTTGGTTATAAAAGGCAGCAATGAAATATAATAATTATAACAAACATCTATCATAATAATATCTATAGGTATTTCTAGCACATAGTAAATAGTTAATAAGTTTTGGCTGTTTCCATCATAATTATATATGATTGTATTTCTGCTTCTGTGGTTATTTTTGGTATTAAGGATATTATAGTTTTGCCAATTTCTATAATCCTAGTACACTGTAAGCTTCTGAAAAGCAGAAGGCATGTCTTCTTTGCTGTCCCAGTGCCTAACAGAGGGCCTAGCAGGCCGTCAGTGTTGAATAAATGTTTGTTGAATCAATGAATGAAACAACAAAATATCGCACATGTGGTAATAATAAAGTATATTACAATTAGGCTATATGCTAACATCTTATTGGCAACAACTATCTTGTATTTGCATATCACTTTCCCCCTTTAAAATCTGCCCAACTTTTTAGGGTGATGGAAATGGTCCCAGCCACCACAATCTCTCATCTGAATTTTGGCAGTAAACTCTAACTGGTCTGCCTGCTTTTGCCCTTGCTTCTGCAGTCTGTCCCCAACAGAGCGGCCAGAGTGGTCCTGTCACTCCTCTGCTCTCAACCCCCAAAGGACTTCAGTGCCACAGAGCAGAGACCATAGACCTTAAAGGAGAACAGCAGGCCCTATGCAGGCTGTACTCAGCAGACTCCCAATCCTGCCACTGCCCCCTCACACACCTGCTGCAACCAGGCTTGCTCCCTTGCCATTCACCAAACACACCAGGTGCTCTGCACCAACCCCCCATCGCCACCTTGGGGTCTTTGCACACATTCCCTCTTAGGGAAAGGCCTTTTCGCCTTGTTCTCTGCATATCTTCTTCCACTAGAAATTCGATTTTGTGAGTGCATGGACTTTTGATTGTCCCCTGCACCTCCTACTGTATTCTCAAGACCTAGATGAGTGGCCGGGCGCAGTGGCTCATGCCTGTAAACCTAGCACTCTGGGAGGCCGAGGTGGGCAGATTGCTCGAGGTCAGGAGTTCGAAGCCAGCCTGAGCAAGAGCGAGACCCCCGTCTCTACTATAAATAGAAACAAATTAATTGGCAAACTACTAATATATAGAGAAAAAATTAGCCAGGCATGGTGGTGCATGCCTGTAGTCCCAGCTACTCGGGAGGCTGAGGCAGAAGGATCGCTTGAGCCCAGGAGTTTGAGGTTGCTGTGAGCTAGGCTGATGCCATGGCACTCACTCTAGCCTGGGAAACAAAGCGAGACTCTGTCTCAAAAAAAAAAAAAAAAAAAAAAAAAAAGACCTAGATGAGTGCCTGGCACCCAGTAGGCACTCAGTAAGTGCCAGCTGAGTAGATAAATACTGAATCCTAGTAGTTTCTAACACATGTGGTTACTATCCCAAACTGAGCCAGGTTTAATGGTCCATGTGAGTATTGGTCCCACTGATACTAAGATGCTAACTAGCTGGCATAGTTATTTTGCAGGAAGATATAATACAGGAGTGTGGCATACACAATTAGTACTCCTGAATATCTACCTGCCCCCCGCCCCCTACATTTCCTGGCCTCTCTTGTGGCTGGACTGAGACCATGGGACTAATTGCCACGATAAATGGAAACTTGAACAGTCGTGGTCTGAGACACTTGGGAGTCACTGCATCTTCTCCACCCCTTCCTTTCTCCAGTACAGCAGACTTAGAAGTGACAGGGTGACATCATGGAATATCAAGATGAAGGCAGCCTGGATGCTAATGACGGAACAGAGAGAGCCCCTGCCAAGTCATAGGACCTTTCACGACTAGGTAATAAACTTTCGCTGTGTTAAGCCACTGAAATTTCCAGATTTTTCCAGATTAAGTCATCACTGCATTATTGCAGCACAGCATGGCCTGTTCTAACACCACATCTGCAGTCATTCTGTCAAAGTGTATTTATTAAGCGAATACTTTATACCTTCTACATAATTGTTGCTATGGAAACAACTGTGCTAAACACCAGAGAATTTAACACAATCCCCGCTCTAAAAGAACTTGCAATTGGGTTTCAGGGATAGGACTAGCTCATATGATACAGGGAGAAAGCAAATGGCAGGAACTTTTTAAAATTCTGAAACAATATAGGACAAATGATAAGGGCAACAGGAATCCAGAGATAAAGATTTCAGAGGAAATGGGCTGTAGTACAGTCAGCTCTTATCACACGGGTTATAAAAAATCCAGATAGGTAACTGGGAAAATTGTTACTGAAGCTCTAAGCTTCTTGGGCTACTTGCAGAGTGACTATATTTTCTTATTCAACATCTTTATTCTTTTCTCTCTTTATTTGGTCAGGAAAAAAGTATGCATAGTGCAACTCTCTAAGATTATTTATAATTTTGTCTGATTTTATTTGATCTTATTTCAGTATTATATTTAATTTTATTATAAAGTTAATACATGATTTCAAAAATCCAAACACAATAGTATAAGGTAAATAAAAACTTGACTTGTTTCTTTACTGATAATAACTTGCTGAAAGATTTTTTTCCAGGTATATTTCTATGCTTGAACACAATACACCCACATAGACATAAATAATACAAATATATATACTTAAATACTTTTACAATTTATTTATAAAACTTCATATTATATATTCAAAGTGCTTTTGAATTTGCTAATATGTTGTAGAAATCTTTTCATGTCAATATATAGCACTATAATTTGTCTTTTATTTTAAAACGGCACTAGGAGTTGCTCAAACAAAAGGTCATTCACTAAAGGAATAATGATATTGCTAACATTTGAAGGCTTATTATATGCCAAGCATTTTCCACAGTTCCTGGAACAAATTATCCTATTTACCCATCACCCAAACAATCTGTGAGGGGTGTTTAATTATCCCCATTCTATTGATGAAGAAATTGAAGCCAGGAGAGTTTAATTGGCTTGTCCAAAGCACACAGCTAGCAAGTGCTAGAGACAGAGCTTGTATCCAGAATGCCTGAGTCCCTGCCTTTAATTAAAACTTACCAACCTGAGTAGTATCAATCTCTGTTTGGGTTGGGTGTGGTGGCTCATGCCTGTACTCCTAGCCCTCTGGGAGGCCGAGGCAGGCAGATTGCTCACGATCAGGAGTTCGAAACCAGCCTGAGCAAGAGCAAGACCCCTCGTCTCTACTATAAATAGAAAGAAATTAATTGGCCAACTAAGACATATATATATATAGAAAAAATCAGCTGGGCATGGTGGCGCATGCCTGTAGTCCCAGCTACTTGGGAGGCTGAGGCAGGAGGATCGCTTGAGCCCAGGAGTTTGAGGTTGCTGTGAGCTAGGCTGATGCCACGGCACTCACTCTAGCCTGGGCAACAAAGCAAGACTCTGTTTAAAAAAGAAAAAAGAAGTCTCTGTTTGCTCTAAAACTGCAATTTCCTAAAATTAATGAACATAATAATCATGATACTAAGGTATTCAGAAACTGCTTTCTGGATTGAAAGGATGACTTAAAGAGTTAGAAATTATTCCCTAAAGAGATGAGAGTCTCTTTAGGGACAAGAACAAATCATTGTTCTTGTCCCATGTTATATGTGGAGCAACATGCTGAGACCCTTAGAAACTGCATAGGACTTTGGATGAATCCAGAGAAATAGCTGAGTTTTCCAAATAAGCAATAGAAGGGGTTGTCCTGAAGCCAAGCCATGTGCTCACCAACTTCCACGATTAACTCTCCGTTATATTGTCACGACTTGGTTTTTCATCAAATAATATCATCCGCGTAAAGTATTTAGAGGAGCATGAGCAGAGGGCAAACACACAAAGGAACAGAATTGAAAACCATCTACTTCAAGAGAAATAAGTGTAACTATGAGCCCTCTTGCTAAGCAGGTAGGCTTATCCAACATTAAACACAGATGGATTTAGACACTTCTGCAGAAGTCACTCGAGTGTTGTACATTTGAGATAATGTCCAGATTAAGTTTTGATTCCGTTAGCTAATGTGGTAAGGAAAATATCATGTTAATAGAGTAGGTTTTATCTTTTCTCTTTTTTAGTTTCAATATTAGCAAGTATTGAGCAGAAAATTCTTTTGTGTGTGCTTTTAAAAAGAGTCATATGTCTTGGAAGATGGGGTGTTTTTTTTTTAGGTTTACAAAATGTGGATTCTTCATGAATGCATTCAACTTGTGATATGTACACATCGCCACACTTGTCTCTCATCTTATTCTCCAGGTAGTCCGGTTGGAGATCTGCACCCCCTCCCTGCCATGCTCTCCCCAATCTCCCCAGCCAGCCCCTCCCTCCCTACAGAGCCCACAGCGCTGTTTGTTCCTCTCTTATGGTGCTCACTTTTTGCGTAATGTTTTGTACCACAATAGCCTACGCACCAGGCCGTCCACTGATAAATCCATCCAGTCAAACATTTCCAACTGCCAAGCCCTGGGTGCTAAACGCATGGCCGGCTTCTGCTACCGGCACACAAAACCCCGTGTAGGGAAACAGAGCAGCGAGGACTCTAAAATTATGGGAAATTTTCAGCCTCCACGAATTTAGTTCAAATATTTTAATCAGAAACAGCTAGAAATGAGTTATTCTCAGTTCAATATACATGTGAGTTTCATGTTTTGGGCACAGTTTTGTCTTTATCTTGAATTCCATGTAGAGGATGAGGATGCTATAGTATTTGCAGTGCTCGTGGCTTCTAAACGTCTGCATCCTGCTTTGGTGAAGTGCTGAGAAGGCATGGAAAAAGCCGTAAGTTTTTTTAAAGTGTGATTTGGGAATAAGAGGTGTTTTAATAGAGT